GGGTTTGGTTCTGGGATTTGGGGTTTGGTTCTGGGATTTGGGGTTTGGTTCTGGGATTTAGGGTTTGGCTCTGGGATTTGGGGTTTGGTTCTGGGATTTGGGGTTTGGCTCTGGGATTTGGGGTTTGGTTCTGGGATTTGGGGTTTGGTTCTGGGATTTGGGGTTTGATCTCGGGGTTTGGGGTTTGATTTGGCTGCAGAGGGCTCTGAGCTGTGAGTGCCACAGCAGAGCTAACTGGACCCAGAGTCCTTGCTCTGCCACCTCCCGGGCAGGGCTGGTGTCACCGGGGTCCTGCCAGAGGGATCACAGTTGGTGACCTGCAGTTCAGAGCCCCTGGGGTGCAGCAGTGTGCAATGGGGCACACAGGGCTCCCTCCCTCTGCTCAGGGCAGTGCCCTCAGCCAGGGGAAGCAGTTCAGGCTCTGCTGCTTTGCTGGTTCTGCCCTCTGGCCAGGCTGGGATGAGGGTTGGGTCAATGGGTGCTGCTCTCCGTTGCAGGCTGTGGCACACGGCCTGTGCCAGCGAGGAGGGCGAGGTGATCATCTTTGGGGGCTGTGCCAACAACCTGCTGGCCCATTCCAAAGCTGTGAGTGGCTTTTGAGCTTCCCCTTCCCGTGGGATGTGCAGGGCTGATCTCGTGGGGATCACACAGGGGCACACACAGGGCCTGAGGGGGAGATGGGAAATCCCAAAGTTCCCCCAGTGTCCCTGCCCAGGGCAGGCTGGAATGGGAGGAGCTTTAAGCTCCTTCCAGCCCAGGGATTCCCTGCTTGTGTTCCCTGTCCTGGCTCCTGCTGAGATCCCACAGAACCAATTCTCTGTCTGTGCCCCCCTCCAGGCTCACAGTAATGAAATCCTGGTGTTCTCCCTCCAGCCAAGATCTCTTGTAAGGTAAGAGAGCAGGAGTTCAGCATGGAACAGCAGGGGGAAATTGCTGGGAGGGTGGGGAATGGCTGTGGCTGCCCCTGCATCCCTGGCAGTGCCCAAGGCCAGGCCTTGCAGCACTGGGATGGTGGAAGGTGTCCCTGCCCATGGAAAAAGGCTGGAATGGGATGGGATTTAAGGTCCTTCCAACCCAAACCATTCTGGCATTCTAAGACAAGTGGGGCAGAGTTACCATTAGACCTGTTCATGTTCCTAAAACACTGGAAATCATTTCTGCCTCCCAAACGCTGCCAGGGCTGAGCATGGAGCATTCCCTCCCTCAGCACCTCTGGCAGGAGCTCCAGTGCAGCCTGTCCCTGCTGCCAGAGCCTGTGCTGGGGCTCCAGTGCAGCCTGTCCCTGCTGCCAGAGCCTGTGCTGGGGCTCCACTGCAGCCTGTCCCTGCCCTGTGCTGGGGCTCCAGTGCAGCCTGTCCCTGCTGTGACAGACCCTGTGCTGGAGCTCCCAGTGCAGCCTGTTGTCCCTGTGTTGCAGACCTGTTGTCCCTGTGTTGCAGGCTGTGCCTGGAGGCCGTGATTTGCTTCAAGGAGCTGTTGGCCAGCTCGTGGCACTGCCTGCCCAAGCACCTCCTGCACAGCGTGAACCAGCGCTTCGGCAGCAACAACACCTCGGGCTCCTGAGCCCGCCACGGCCCCTGCCCACCCTCTGTGTGTAGGTAGCTGCTTCTCGCCCTCCCGTGCATGTGAATGGCCTAGAGAGAACCTATTTTCGTGTGAGATGTTCCAATAAATGTATTTGATGCCAGAGGAGATGAGCCTGAGCCTCAGCTGTGAGCAGGTGTGGGGTTGTGAGGCCGCCCCAAGAGCAGGGGGTGTCCATGGGGGCAGAGCTGGGGGTGCTGAGCACAGCAGGGCTCGGGAGTGAGCAGTGAGCCTGTGCTGTTCAGCCCACAGCTTCAGGGAGGCCTCAGGTCAGAGAAGCAGGATGTGGGAGTCAGGAGCAGGATCAGGAAGTTGTCCCGTTGTCGGTCGATAAACTGTCGTAAACCTTGAGATGTTAAAGCACCACTACTTTCTGCTTGGCTGTAGTTTGGTTTTGGTTTTTTTTTTTAAATTTTTATGTTGTGGAACTTGAGTTGTGAACCTTAGGTAGCAGATATTCTGCCCTGTGAGTAACTGGGAGTGTCTGTGCCTGTTCCCAGCCCTTTGGAGCTCCCCTGGCTGTCCCCTGGCTGCAGGGCCATGGAGAGGGGACACGGGGGACAGGGCCAGGCTGTGCTGCTGTGGGGAAGGGGGGAATCATGTTTTAAGCTGTCTTGAAAAACTAATTAAAAACGTTGACTTGTAGAACAATTCCTGTGCTGTAATTCCTGAGAGATCCTGGGGGTTTTCCTGACTCCCAACCCTGCTCTTCCTCCCCTCCCCAGGGTTCTGGCACAGCTGGGCCTGCACCTTGCTCTCTCCACAGCCAGGGGATGTCTGGGGGAAACACAATTCCACCTTCCCAAAGGAAGCTTCCTCCCCTGGCACTGCCCTCCTGCAGGCTCTGGCATTGAACACCCAGGAATTCTCCTGCCCCAAACTCCAGAGCCTTTGCCCAGCGCTCGAACAGAGAAGCAGCAGCAGCAGCAGCAGGGGAGGACATTCCTGACCAAATGCCAGCAATTTAATTCCACATTTATCTGCAGTTTGTATCAGAGTCCAGCTAAAGCAGCAGGAATGCAGGCCCTGGGTGCAGGGATTCAGTCCAGGTGCTGGGTCTGTGTCCAGCCCCCAGCATGGAATCACTTCCTCTTCATGTTCTGGAGGTGAGGTGCAGACACTTTCACCTTCCCAGGAATATTTCTTGACAGGTCTGTGTCCTGGGGAACAGGGGAGAGGAGAAGGTGACCACAGCAGGAAAACCTTTGTGGAGCTCTGGGCTGATGCTGCCCTTGGTCCTGGGGAGCACCAGGACATCTCCAACCTCAGCTGCCAGTGCCAGCTCCAGCAGAATTCCCACTCCAAGGCCAGAGGGTTCCCTGGGAGGCGCTGCTGCTGTCACAGTGACACAATGCACAGCGCTCCCCCTGAGGCTCTCACGGGCAGCAGAGCTTTCCCACAGGAGCTGGCAGTGCCCAAGGCCAGGCTGGATGGGGCCTGCAGCAGCCTGGGATAGTGGCAATGTCCCAGGAAGGATTTTTAAGATCCTTTCCACCCCAAACCACTGCAGGGCTCTCTGACCCTCCCCAGGAGCACAAACTCCCCAGTGTGGCAGCATTTCCCCCCAATGGCTCCTGTGGCCCCTGCGGGCCGGGCTCACCTTGACGCTGCGGAACAGATCCTTCTCTCGGGCACTGGCCTCTTTGGACTGCATGAAATTGTGCAAGGCAATCTTGGCAGCTGCAAAAAGCCAGGGAAGAGTGAAAGAGCCTGGAAAGCCCCAGCCTGAGCAGGCAGAGCACAGAGGGGCTCGGGGCTCTCACACTGTACCTTTGCCCTTCTTCTGCGTGCCCGGCGTGAGCTTGACTTTGTACCTGCCCGCGGGAAAGGTTCCATCAGTGCCACACAGCCAGCCCGTGCCCTCCCAGGAAGGGGCCCCACTCACTTGTAGTTGGCCATGGCTGTGTAGGGAGCACAGATGGGCACAGCAAAGAGCAGGATGTCCTCGGGGTGGGGCTGCCCCGTCAGGGAGTCCAGCAGGGCCTGGCTCTCCTGGGACACACACAGAGCTGCACTGGGCCCTGCTCAGCCCTTCCAAACCGAGCCCTCCCGTGGCTCCACGAGCACAGAACTGCCAGGGAATGCCCCAGCCAGGATCTGGGACCCATCCGTTCCATCATTGAAATCACATCCTGCCCTGGATCTTGGGTTTGGGCCAAGGGTCACCCAAAGCTCCCCCCAGCAGACACCCTTGTCCTCCTCCATGGAGGAATTTAAAGGAATTCACTTATTCCCAGCCCTGGGCAACAGCCACAGCCTGTAATTACACAAAAGTAATTACAGAAAAGTTTGAAGCAATTTGATATGTAAATAAACTTCAAACTAAAGAAGGACCTGCACTGCTCACTGTGTCATCCTCCAGCCCAGAGCCACCAAGGCAAAAACCAAGGGCAAACATCCCTGGAGCCAGCTCTGGGTTTGTGGGGGATGTGGAGATGAGCAGGGCAGGCATGGAGGTTCATTTTCATGAGATTAAGTTTTAAACCACAATTAAGGTGCGTCCAAGCAGTCCTGGAGGGCTCCCCATGGCCCAGTCCCAGCTGGAGCACAGCCCCACCTCAGCCTTACAGAGCTGAGCCTTTACCTCCAGTCCTGGCTGCTCCTGCTCCTGCTCCTCCTGCACACACAAACAGAGAACACAGAGAACTCATCAGGCCTGCAGAAACCACAGAGCAGCTCCTGCCTGCCCTGTCCCCAAGGAATTCTTTATTCAGCAGCCCCAGAAAGCCCCACTGTCCCTGCAAACAGAACTGAGCTGCTTTCACAACCAAGGTGAGAGCGGCACTGCCGTGGGTGGAGTTTCTTTCCAACCTCTCATTTGCCTGGCACACGCCGAGCTGGGAGAGGAGATTTGCTCAGAGATAGCAAATCTGGGAGGAGGAGATTTGCTCAGAGATAGCAAATGCCAGCGGCAGCAGGGCTGGGAGCTGGGCACACCCAGCTCAGGGGGAGCTGCTGGGCAAACCCGAGCCTCGGGGCTGCTCCGAGCCCCAGATCTGCCTGTGCTGGCAACAGGATGAGCACAGGGATTGCTGCAGGGCTCTGGGCTGCTCTGGGAACTCAGCGGGATCAGTGGCAGCAGACACAGAGCTCCCCACAGTGCCCAGAATGCATGGGGAGCTGCTCAGCCTCCTGGTCAGAGCTACAGAGCCAGGGCAGACACACGGAGAGAGGAGAGGGGAGGGGA